CTACTACTACTACTACTACTACTTTGTTTTAATTTACAGCCTCGGTAAGACGGACACGTCATGTTCGTTTACCGTCGCAATTGAAAAGTGCAACACTAGGTATCACTTGGAAGTTATCGATAACTCGGTCTTCTGTGGTGCCCTGTCTTGCCGATTTCTTGTCAGCGCAGAAAGCATTGCTTCGGACCTCTACTCAGTTATCTCTTAACTTGTATTCATTTTCACTGCTCACGATAATTATGCTATAATTTTGTTCGATAATTGTTAGATGACTATGTGTGACTGCTGAATATCCACCTTTCGGGGTGCATAAAGCAAATACTTGATTTGACTTGACTTGAAAACATTGAACAGTCTAAGTGCATGAGTCGTGAAAACGGGGACCATAAAGGACAGAAAAAGGAACACTTGCAAGTCAGTTTCAGGGCTCATTTTGAAACCGAAACCGGAACGTGGGTCGTTGAAAAAGGTTTTAAGGAAATTAATATGGGCAAATTGAGTTGTGCCATTTTAGCCATTGGATAAGCAAATTTCACATTCAAAACAGTATTATTCCGTACAATGTTTTTCTTCGTTTCAGTGTCGATCTGCAGCCTCACACCGAACGTGATAACCAGTTGTCAGGCGAGGGTAAGTGTTACATTCTTTTTCAGGCTTTTTATCTTAACTAAACACTTACTTGATCGACGTTTACTCAGTTTACCAATGGTTTGCATAACTCTTCGTATCGACTTGCTGGCGAGACATGTTTCAAAGATTCAACTGTTTTTTCTTACCAATTCGTCCCTAACTTACGACAACTTTAAACGCCTCGTCGAACGATAACCAAATGTTTGCGTCCAAAGTATAAATCAATAAGGATGGGTTGCTGGCACCTGTCGGAAAGTAATATTTCCGCTTTAATGCACATGCACCGATGAAGACAAGCCAATCCAGATGGAATTCAAACCTGGGTTGTTGTTTTTTAATTTGTTTCCTTACATGGCCCTCTGAAGGTTGCGAAATATAAGCAATGCTCAGTATCAGGGGTTGTGTGCCTGACGATCTGCTGTTTATTTTGTTCGACCGTAATCAAGCGATCATTTGAAGTAATCCTTTCACGAGTTCTGGGTTCTACTAAACTGCTTCCTACAATAATAATCTGTTGGTATCAGTTTGCTTTAATACATACAAAACAATTGGGAGTGCGAAGAGTTTTGCGGTTCGAATCATTGATTTGGCTCACCGTGGATCGTTTGTCCCATTTCAGTCGTCATCGCAAACAATCACCCACCCACCCGCAACTGCAAGTCATGATTTCTTATGTTTGCTGGCATTCGTTTTCTCCCTCTTCCATGGAACTCGACTTGAAATCGTTTACGACGATCAACTTATCAAACTAAGTGTTTCGTGGCGCCTGAGGATGTGAACGAGAGCAAACTGTGTGTGTGTGTGTAAAACGGCTATTCCCAAAAAAAAGTGTGATTGCAACAGTGACATATTTAATCATCATAGTCAAAAACGCCTCTTCAGTGAGTAAATCGCATCTGGACAGGTTTGATTTGACTTCTCGACACGAAATTTCTTCCCGTCCGTTGTAATAACCTGGTCTATACTCAAATGCAAATCAAAAATATCGTCTGACTTGCATCGGTCACAAATGTAAAGGAACCAATAAAATGTGCCACAACGTTATCTGAGCGAGAATATCCGCTGTGACAACCGACTTAAATTTGGTCATCTAATGGGCCATAGTGGTCCCCACATTTTCACCCCAGAGGACGTGTGTTCGAATCCAACCCTCACCACCACCACCTGACTTCTCCACTCTCTCTCTCTCTCTCTCTGTTGCACGGTGGTACTTTGATTGGTCGCGTCCCCCTTCCTCGAAAGATGTATCTTTCCATATTCACTAACAAGAAGTAAAAATTAAAAATTAAAAAGATGAATGGTTAAGTTACCTATCAACAGGAAAAACAGGTACAGTATTGTTCTCCACAGCAGATGATACGCCGCTACAGTCAGCAATCAATTCACCACTGTTTTGGGTCGTGGAACTGTGAAAAGGAGTTT